AAAAAAAAAAAAAAAAGCCTGACTCCTCTGGTCACTGCAGGTATGATTCCCCAGCAAACCCTCTCTTATCAATCTTGTTGTCTCAGAAGCAGGTATTGACAATGCACAAATAACTGGCCTAGATCCCCAACACCCACAATGAGCCTGCATCCACAGGCACTAATTTGATGTTTAGGACTCAGCAGCTTCTCTCCACAGGGTTCCTTCAGGGGGAGCTGTCCCCTGTATGGTGTGGCCGCCCTCAATGGCTCTTCCCTGGCCTTATCCCATCCCTCGGCCCCATCTCTCTGCTACTTTGTGGCTGGGACCTCTGGGCTCCTGGCCCTCTACTGCCTCCTGCTTCTGCTCTTCTGGGTCTATAGCAGCTGCATCGAGGACTCCCACAGGTGACTGCCTCAGAGGGTTAAGGGCTAAGGTGGGATGTGTTCCACCTCAGCCACAAGCCTTGTTCTCTTTCCCTTTACAGAGGTCCTGTAGGGCTCCGCATTGCACTGGTCATCTCTGCTATAGCCATCTTCCTGGTCTTAGTGACTGCCTGTATCCTTCGATTTGGCACCAGTTCCCTCTGCAACTCCATCATCTCCCTTAACAATACAATTAGGTAATGGGAAGGAGAGGGACACCTGTCTGTGGCTATCTTTCCTTTGCAGAATGGGCCCTATAACTTTTTTTTTTTTTTGCAGTTTTTTGGCCGTGGCCTGGTTTGAACCCGCCCCCTCCCGTATATGGGGTGGGCGCCCTACTCCTTTGAGCCACAGGCACCACTGTAACTTTATTTTTGAGACAGAGTCTCAAGCTGTCACCCTTGGTAGAGTGCTGTGATATCAGAGCTCACAGCAATGTCAAACTCTTGGGCTTAATTGATTCTCTTGCCTTAGCCACCCAAGTAGCTGGGACTACAGGTGTATGCCACAATGCCTGGCTGTTTTTTGGTTATAGTTGTTTGGCAGGCCTGGACTTGATTTAAACCGGTCAGCTCTGGTATATGTGGCTGGCACCCTAGCCACTGAGCTACAGGCACCAAGCCTGTAACTTCTCTTTTTATCTCCATCACTTGGCTTTCATTTAAAAGGGTACCCGGGCACCAGTGTGTTCACCTGTATTCCCCTTTTCTCACAACTGTCTCTTTGACCTCACAGTTGCGCTGAAGCCCAGAAAATTTCATGGACACCTCCTGGAACCGCTCTGCAGTTTTACTCCAACCTACATAATGCTGAAGTGAGGCCCTGGGATATAAAAGACTGGGTGGAAACCCAGGAATACATTGATACTCATTTTAAGTATTTTTACTGTAAGGGTGCTCACCTGGGTATCATGGGCTTGGCCTACCAGTGAGAAGCTACAAGAAGCTGTGGGGCTTGTCCGCTTGACACTAAACAGATGAGAAAGTTACATGGGTAGAAAGGACTGGATCTGAGATGGCCCTATTCCTCACACTACTGTTCCTGTCTCCCACAGACCTCTTCTTGGGTGAATCTGGTACTGTGGTGTGTGGTCTTGGTGCTTCAAGTTGTGCAGTGGAAGTCTGAAGCCACCCCATACCGGCCTCTGGAGAGGGGTGACCCTGAGTGGACCTCTGAGACAGATGCTCTTGTTGGGCCTCGGCTTTCCCATTCCTGAAGAGAAACCCGAGTGCTTCCTGCAGCCAAAGACTCCGTGCCCGAGTGCCTGCAATCCTGTTGTCCTCCCGTGGCCCTGTTTATGTCAGGAGCCTTTGTTTTCCCTCCACGAGGGTAACATGATGACAGGCCTCCCCTCTACCTCTCTTCCCATAGTTGTTTTATACCAAAATATTATAGTACTTTCTTCTTGTTGGCACTGAGTTTTTAATATTAAAGCATGTAGCTGGGAGGAAAGAAGAATGAAGACTCAACAGATATGGATGGAGGGGTAACGCCTGTGGCTCAAAAGGGTAGGGTGCTGGCCCCATATGCCGGAGGTGGCAGGTTCAAACCCAGCTCCAGCCAAAAAAAAATTAACAATAACAGATATGGATGGAAATTTCAGATACACTGTCAGGCACCAGCTCTTGGGATGACTGCTCTTTTATTTGTTGTTAATTAGTCTTGGACCCCCTTCTGAGAGCCTGGCTGTCACTCCATCTCTAAGGTTTGGTTTTTGGCCCCCTCTGGGATGAGTGACCTGAAGTTGTTTCTTCACAAGCTGCGGTAGGCACCCACGGTATTGTCAAAGAGTTTTGTGTTGGGGAAGTATCCAGATTTGTCCAAGAGAAAATAGAAGCGCCGCCCTTTCACCTTCAGAGGTAACATGGCAGGCACTTCACCCCGGTGAGCCATGCAGGACACCTGGTTCAAGGGAACAGTGAAATGGGCCCCCAAGCCAAAGGGGGCATGAGTGGTGAGGGTCACTTGCTGTCCTCCAGCTCGAAGCATCACTGAGCGCACAGACCGGAGGGAGAAGATAAGACCTGCACCAAGAACCAAGGCTCCTGCAGGGAGAGTTAAAGTTAGGGGTGATGAAGTATTTTCACTGCAAGGAAGCACAGATCGTTCCCATGCCCTTGACAAATTATTGTGACGATACTACCCTACAATTTTGGGTTATTTCTCTACACAACACAAACACACGTCTAGGTCCTGGTGTGGGCGGCAAACCTTAAGAGGACTGGGCCAAGGGGTGGCCTCTGGGGCTTTTCAGTGTTCCCCATTGTATAGGTACGTGCCGCCCCCCTCGCCGCCTGCTCATCTGGACGGGGAGCCTGTTACTCTCCTTAAGTCGGGAGGGTGGTGCCCAGCCACCCCATATTGCCATGGTACCAAACCAGCCCACACCTTACCGATAGCGCCACAACCGACTGCCAGCCCGTAGCGCCAGACCGCGGAGCGCAGGTCGAAGTGGCCAGAGTCTGGTGCCTCCGCGTCCTGATACTGCACAGGGACCGGGGGTCGGGATAAAGCTGCTACGGCCAGGGAGGCCCAGAAGACTCCCTGGCCCGCGCAGAAAAGCCCGAGGAAGGCGAAGAAGCGGCCCCGTTCATGCTCGAACAGCAGCACGTCCTGTAGCGGGGCAGTGTCGTGCAGAAGCCGGCACGCGCGCAGAGGCTGCAGAGCGACCGGCAGCGCTAGATGTCGGGGCCGCCAAGGTACCGCCATGTCCCGCGCCAGCCCGCTTCCGGGGCGGGACTTCCGGTGCTACCTCCCAGTCCCTCTGCTTCATCCTCCACCCCCGGGAGCCCCGCCCTCAGCAGGACCAGTCTCTGGTGCAGGGCCGGGAATAGAGGAGATACAGCACCCAAGACACAAAATACAATGTCACTCTTTATCTTAAAAAGTAAGGAGGATCCTGGGGATAAGTACACAAAGCACCTAAGTCCTTCGGGTAGTTTAGTGTCAGTTCTACAAAGTAACCTTTGGCTTCCAGGCACCAGTGAGGCTCAATCTTCCGGAAGTCTTCCAGAAGGCAGGTGAGGAGAGGGATCCAGCAGCTCTCCCTCCTCGGTCACAGTCACAGCGTGGCCTCAGGCCGGATAGGAGGAGACGACAGATGATCATAATATCCAAGAGCTATTTACAGGGGGCCGTCTTCTGGGGCATGACATGGGTCACTTCATGAACGCCACTTCCGGGATCTCGCCCTTGGCCTGAAGAAAATGAAAGGTCAGTAGAGGGAGGCAACTCCCCAAAAGGACTCAATCCTCTTGATGGTGCAGAGCCCTCGTTTTCCACTGTTTTTTTTTTTTTTTTCCAGTTTTTGGTCGGGGCTGGGTTTGAACCCACCACCTCTGGCATATGGGGCTGGCGCCCTACTCCTTTGAGCCACAGACGCTGCCCATCCACTGTGTATTTTTAAACTTTACCTTGAGATGAGTGAAGACCTGGGCAGATCTGGTGTAGTCCCAGTTGTTGTCCTGAAGGCACCTAGAGTGGGGAAACAACAGGTAGCTCCACGAGAACCATCCACTAAATGCCACTTCAAAATCCATTCTAAGACATATCCACCCAAGGTTGCCAACAATTGTATGTACTCTTTTTTCTTTTTGTTTTGATACAGAGTCTCACTTTTGCCCTGGGGTTTACTGCCATGAGGTCATTATAGCTCACAGCAACCTCAAACTCTTGGGCTCAAGCAATCATTCTGCTTCAGCCTCCTGAGTTAGCTGGGACTACAGGTGCCCACCTCAAAACCTGGCCTATTTTTCTATTTTTTTTTGTAGAGATGTGGTCTTGTTCTTGTTTAGGCTGATCTCGAACTCCTGAGCTCAAGCAATCCAACCACTTCGGCCTTCCAGAGTGCTAGGATTACAGGTGTGAGCTACCTCCCTAACCAACAATATATTCTTATACATACTTATACTATTTATACAAATGAAAAACAGTAAAAATTCCAATTGTCTTCCAATGGTCCATCAAATATAAGGAATGTTTTGTATTTTCTTAAATTTCAGAATGTTACAGAATTCAAACGTTTTGGTTACATGCATTACTTTTGTATAGTTTGAGTCAAGGTTATAAGTGTGTCCATTCCCTAGGCAGAGTGCATTGTACCCGTTAAGTGTAAATTTATCTATCCTCTCTGTTTCCTCCTACCTGCTTGATTTCCGTTGAATTTTACTTCCAAATGTAGGCATACATGTTGATCATTTAGTTCTAATTTAAAAAGTGAGTACATGTGGTGTCTGTTTTTCCATTCCTATGGTATTTCACTTAGGAGGATGGTGTCAGTTCCATCCAGATTGTTACAAAAGATATATATATTTTTAAAAACAGAGTCTCACTTTGTCTCCCTTGGTAGAGTGTCATGGCATCATAGCTCACAGCAACCTCACACTCTTGGGCTTAAGCGATTCTCTTGCTGCAGCCTCCCAAGTAGCTGGGACTATAGGCGCCCGCCACAATGCCTGGCTATTTTGTTGTTGTTGTTGTTGTTGTTGCAGTTGTCATTGTTTTAGCTGGCTGGGGCCAGGTTCGAACCCGCCAGCCTCAGTGTATGTAGCTGAGCCTGGACTTTTCTTTTTTAAGCAACCAAAAAAGTTTGGCTTTAAAATTACAGTGCTTATTATTCACTACCAGCTCTACCTCAGTTCATCCCTATCCTATACATGCCCAGTACTCACTTCTGGGACCACTCAAGGTTCATTCCAGATTGGGTAGAGAATGCCTGCAACATTTCCTGCTGCTCCGGGGAGAGGGTGGGCACTGGGCTGGATGAAGGCGTGGGTGCGGGCATGGCAAAGGCTCTTTGGATCTCTTCAGAGCTGGCATTCCGCACAAAGAGCTCATCGTTTACAATACATAGCCTTGGGGATAAAGAGCACCTTAAACAGCTGGACAGATAACCTCATTTTCCAAACACCATTCCTATTCTCACTGATGACTGACACGCAGCTTCTTTCAATACGCACAAGTTCCCTTCTCCCTCTTAACTATTACTTATCATTTACCCCTTCCCACAAACTCCATATTTGGAAGCGTTGTCTACCAAACACATTAGAATTATACATTTTCCCTCAACCCATGGACAGTTTTTTTTTTTTTTAAAGACAGAGCCTCAAGCTGTCCCCCTGGGTGGAGTGCC